ATTTTATTATTTATTTATTTTTTATTATTTATTATTGATGTATATATTTAGATTAGAATATGCTAGATGATGCAAGCATGATCATTCTGATCTTTCTTGTGATTATTATTTCAGAAAATATCACGTGTCTTATTATTTTATCATATGTCATGATATTATTTATTATCTATAATTTCATATTCTTTATATTTTTTCAATTTTATCATCTCATAGAATAAAGATATTCATCTGATATGAGAAATACATTCATTTTTATTGTTATTCAGTTACCGAGCAATACTTGTTCTAATTTTAAATAACTGAATAAAATATCAAGATTGAGTTACAACATTCTAATATTTGTTTGTGCAGTGCATTAAGAAAAAATTTCAATAATTTCAATAATTAGAAATTTTTAAGGCAATTTAATTGCATATTGTTAATTAGGAAAATTTATGAGAAATTTGATTCGTATTGTCAATTAAAATTAATCTATTATCAAAGAGATCATTATTAATACAATTTTAGCGCTAAATTCTCAATTTTTATTCTCCCAGTTTATTTTTGACCTCTCAGTATTTTTTGCTCTCTTTATTTTTGGCGCATACATTACAAATATATTCCGTTTTTTATATTTTTATATTTTTAAATTATAACATATGAAAAATTTCTTAATATTGTTGCTCAAGTCAAAGATAATATAAATATTTATATTCTTATAAATGTAAATATTATCAATTTAAAATTATATTTTGTCGGATTCATTTTTAACATAATTGATGATTCAAATATTTTTTTATAATATAAAATCCAAAATATGAATTATAATATTTTATTTATAGAAATATCTTAATAAGAGAAAGTAAATGAAAATACTATAATTAAAAGTTAAGTTGAAATTATAAGTAAAAATGTAAAATATTACAGTTCGTTTTCATATTCACGTTTTTATTTTTTTTTTCAATATCGAATACCCAAAGAAGCTAAAAAAAAGAGTTATTAGAGGAAGAAAAAATTACTAAATTACTAAACATATTTACATATTTTAACATTTATTCAGGGAACATATTACTGCAGATCGAAAATAGATTCGTATCGAGGTGTGACATGAGGAGAAAAAAAAATGAATAATATTTGCTTTTATACAAAAACATGGATCGTATATATATATATGTCGTATTTAATCGCGCGCGTGTATATACAGGGTATTTATAAAAATGTGAGACACTTGGAGGGTGGATTTTAGACATCAAAACGATAAAATAAGTCCATATACACATATGTCCGATAAGACCTTATTAAGGAGTTATAAGCATTTTAAGTTTGTATTAGATAAAGTGAAATGGCGAAAAAGTGAGAACACAGCTGGATGCGCGATCAGTATCATATTGCAATGTTGCTTGCGTAGTAAAGCCCCTCGATGAAAGTAAATATACTGATATTTTTTTTGTATAGAATTAATTGTTTTAAATGAATTTCAATATAAGATAATATACAATGTATATAAATATCGTGTAATTATACATTTTTATATCATTTAAAAAAAATTTTAATTATGCAAATTGAAATCTATGTAATTAGTAACAGAAACTTGCTTCGAACAAATTATAGGAATTATTATTTATTATTATGAATTATATGATGATTGTATAATATTTCATTTAAAATCATAGATTCATCATATTTCATTCAATCTGCCGTAATTATCGAAATCTATAAAAGCAAATCAAAACACACTTCTATAAGATTTCGAAATTAAAAAGATTGAATGTGTTTTTATATCTACAATTGCTTCTTTAATTATTTTCATATGAAGAAAATTATTTTCACATATAAGAAAATCCGAAATTCTAATATTATTTGAATCAATTTGAATTTGAATTATTAAATTATTCAATTAAATCATTCACTAATATTTATCTTTATTTCACTTGCAGTAAATATTTTTCATTCTTATGTAGAGAAAAATAATAATCCATCTGGATATCATATATTAATAATATGAATGAATATTGATGAATATAATATGAATATATAATACATTAATATCATATATCTATAAAAAATACATATATATCAATTGCTCTTTTTATGTATGCTTAAATGAATATTTCAAATTCATTTTTTTTTTTTTGTTTTTTTTTACATATTTATTTCTAATATACATTACATGAAGGTTACGAACGAACTGAGTCCAGAACAAAGTAACACTATTTTAGCAATGGAAGAGATTATTGATCTAGGCTTTCGTATTCTTATACTTAAAACATACAAACATAATATTCGATTTTGAATATTACTATCGCATTTTTTTTTCTATCAAATCTCTTTTTCTAACACTCAGTATTCAATTGTTAACAACGCTATTTCAGTAATATATTGTCGTGTCAGTTCAGAATTTGATGAAATAATACATATATGAATATTTGTTTAAAAATAAATAAAGTTTCCATTAATAATTTTAATATAAAAATTAAATTATATTACAATAATAAATAATAATCGAAATAATGTTATATTTATATCAAAGAAATTAATGTGAATAGTGAATAAAAAAAATTTAATATGCAATAGTAATATGAAAAAGAAAAATGCAATGTTTATATAATTTTTTTAGTGGATATAAGATAGTGATTAGTATTATATTAAAATATAGAGATAATTCAATAGAGATATTGAATTTCAACTTTTTTGTTTAATCATCGCATAATAAAAAATTTTGAATTTAAGTGAAATAGAGACAAAAGTTTTTCAATTGATACTTCAATTGGTTTATAAATTTCAAATTGATTCATTAATGACTTTCTTGTATATGTGAGGATAACAAAATTTTATGTAAAAAATATATTCATTCTTTCTAATTTGAAATCTTATGGAAGTGTGTTTTGATTTGCTCCTATGGATTTCGGTAAGTAGGCAGATTAAGTATCATACAATAATTCAACTATGAATTTAAATAATATGTTCGTATAAAATAATTTATCTATGGATTTATATAAAGTGGTGACATATATTAATATTTTGGAATTTACTAAAACTTATTCGAGGTAAGTTTTTGTTAAATAAAGAGTTACATAATATGTACATTATATTACATTACATTGAAATTCATTTGAAATAATCAATTATATATAAAAAAAAAGTATCAATATATTTACTTTCATCGAGAGGCACTGCTACGCAGACGACATTGTAATACGGTATGCCGCGCATCCAGCTGAGCGTTCTCACTCTTTCGCCATCTCGCTCTATCTAATATAAACTTAAAAATGCTTATAATTCCTTAATTAAACCTTATTGGACATATATGTATATGACTTTTTTTTATCGTTTTAATGTCTAGAATCCATCCTCTAAAAATGTCCCACATTTTTATAAACAGTCCTATATATATATATATATATATAAAGATCTTATATTTATGATCCTTCGTCAAAATAGTTGACATAAATTAACTCCAATAGATAACGAGCTCTCGATGCGGCCACTAAGATTATATAATTAATAATTATAATTAATAATAATACAAATGCCGATTCGTAAGCTCATTATCTTCAAACAAGAATTCCGTTTTAACATAATATATTAAATCGTTACTCTAATCTCATCTCGTTTAAATTGATTCTAAACACTTGACAGCTTTCTTTCGGCTGACGAAACATCTCTCTGTGACTCTCTTTCTTAATAGAAAATTATAAAAAGTATAATACAATCTCGTTTAAACATTCTCACTCTAGACTTTTGTTAATTATCTATAATTCGCTTGTTTATGATCCTATAATTCACGCTATCGCAACGAGGCAGACGTTAATTCGTTTTATTGTTATTTATAATTTTAATTCTTTTTTTTTTTTTTTTCTACCCAAGTTTTGCTAGAGACTAGTTTCGAACTGTTTATGAATACAGTTATAACGCCTGCTTTTTATATCGTAAATTCTACGCTCTATACATGAATAATATCCTGTATAATTTACATACAATGTCGACAACTTTTTCGAATAATCGAAAGTTGTTGAGCCTTCGTACATCATCTTCGCTATCAATAGATCTTAGATCTATTTTTCTTTGACATTATTTACTTAAAAGAGGTATGAAAATTAATTCTAAATTTCGACAATAGCTGAAAAGCACACAATCAGTAATAGTATAATCTTTCCCCCTCCCCCCCCCCCTCCCCTACGCCCACGTGCAAAAGTATAGAATTTTATAAAATTGTATAAATGGTATAAAAAATTTTTTCATCAGTATTAAACAAATTGTTTTTTAATCAATTAATAGAAACTTTATTTAAAGACGCGCAGAAATGTTCGGTTGAGCAGTATTGTTTGCATTTAGATATGATTAGAATTGCTTTCCGTTTTTAAAACGAATCGATAGTTGACAAATTTTCACAGATAAAATGTTTCTTTTAAAAGACTTATTAAACGCACAATAAGATTGTGTTTTCAAATAATCAATCTACTGCTACAACGTACAGCCGACAATTGATTATTGTGCCATTTTTAAAAATTGATTCTCGAAATCTTATTAGACGGTATATACCATCTGGCAGACACATGGTATTACATTTATATTACAATCTAATAACAATAGATCAGTCGAAAATTCATGATTTCGCATATGCAAAAATATAAATAAAACTAATAGTATAAAAAGTCTTATAGAAGCTTAATCTATAAAATTGTATCGTATCAATAGTATCACTTAATATTGTGACTGTAATACAACGAAATATTAAGATTTTCATATATTTATATATAAAATCAATATATAAGTGTATCCACTTTGTTGGTTAATATGTTTAAATACATATTAACGCAAATTTTTTTAATACTTTCAAAATATCATAAAACACGAGGAAAAATAATTATGAAATAATACAAAGGAAACACGTATTAAACGGGTTTAGTCTATATTCTATACTGTATATATATATATATATTTCGTATTTATACTTATGTATATTCCATTATATTATATGTATAAAAAAACTTGTTAAGGTTGTACAGTGGATTTTAAGGTTTATTGACAGTATAAAATATCTATATTTCGATCGAAAGAAATAAATAAATACGAAAACATGGCAGTGATTAGGTATTGGTGAGAAGTCTGTTTACCTATCCTGCTTAACAAACATTACACGAAAGTTTCGAAGATCGAATTCTTTTACTTACGAAACGAACGTAGAGGTATAGATATATACCTTGTATAACGCGCGATTTACCATGAAATTCATATAAAAATCGTCCAAGTGAAACAATATTTAATTATATTCACTTCGATACCCTGGTCTCTGTAGTGACCTTACTAGGATCTGGTAACCTGACAACTAATTGCGCTCCGTTTTGCATTGATCTGGTTCCATTAGAAGTATTTATTTTGCTCATTGGTTGAGGTGCTGGAGGCAATACTTTCTTCGCTCCGCTTAATTTTGGCGAGCAACATTGTTTTTCATCGAAATCATTTAAATTGATGTTTGTCGTTTGATTCGGGTAGACAGAAGTCTTTATCGGCGTACCGTGTTCACTGAAACCACAGTTTGGCCTCTGCTCGACGGGGTTCGTGTTCTGGAAGCTTGGTGGCAACATTTTAATACCATTGCTGTGGTCGTTCAGGTTGCAGAACGAAGGTTGTTGATCCGTATTCGCTTTGAAGTTCATGTCCTTCGGATCGCACTTGTATATTGGTGCTGATAACTGCGTGGAATTGGTTTTATTTGTGCTTTTGTGACTGCTTCCGGAATAACTGGTGATAGATTCGTTACAGAAATCGCTCAGGTAAGTTTGGTTTATGTACCAATTGTGCAGACGATGATGAATCTCCGGAAACTGCGGTCTACGATTAGCCACCTCGTGCCAGCACTCTATCATTAGGCTGTAGATCATGGTTGGACAATCCTCAGGGCAGGGTAATAATTGCCGTGATCGAATCATGTCTATTACTTCTTGATTATTGTATCCGTAATACGGCTGTAAATTAGAGTATATAATGTATCGAGTATATAAGTATTTTATAATGCTTAATGTTTGGGTAATTTTTTATTTTTTCTATAACATTATTTACGATTTATTTCCTTACCTGTAAACCGTAACTATAAATTTCCCACAATACGACTCCGAAACTCCATACGTCGGACTCTGTGGTAAATTTGCCATAAAGAATTGATTCTGGAGGCATCCATCGAACAGGTAATAGACTCTTAGATTGAACTCTGTAGTAATCACTGCTGTATATATCACGAGATAAACCAAAATCAGAGATCTTTACTGTTAAATTATCTCCAACTAGGCAATTCCTTGCGGCTAAATCTCGGTGAACGTAATGATGACTGGCTAAATATTCCATACCTGATACGATATTTTGATTTAATAAATTATTATATATATATCGAAACTATTAATCGAAATTAAAATCTAACCAGATGCTATTTGTAACGCGATGTGCAGAAATTCCGGTTGTTCCAGAATTTTTCCGTTTCCATTGTTCAATGGAACGTCTGATCTTGGTGAATGACAAATAAGAAACTCGTGTAAATCCCCTTGGGTCATGTATTCGAACAACATGCACATTGGTTCTCCTTTTAATATTACGCCCAATAGGCAAATAATGTTTGGATGTCTTAGATCTGTCATCAAATCAACTTCCCGTTTGAAATCGCTTTGTGTTTTTGGACTTGCATTCTCTTTCAATGTTTTCACTGCTACGTAAATTGGAGGTTCGCATTTATTGCCTGTTTGTAATTCTCCCTTGTATACTTTTCCTATAAAAAGTTTTAATTTTTTTTTTTTTTTAACTTAGTTCACTGTACAAAATTTGAGAATTATATTATTTCATATAATATGTAATACCGAAAGCTCCTTCTCCAAGTTCTTGTAAAAGTACGACATTATTAGTAGTAAATTGTGGCACTCTATTGTTGGATGTTCGACTACTGCCACTACTTAATGTTCCTGTTCCGGGTGTAGTATTACCGGGACCAGCTAAAAGAGAACTCATTTCCATAGGTTGGGTTGTGCTTCGTCGTCCATCGTATATATTTTTGTCACATTGTATACCAGTTAACATCTAATATATAAAATATAAAGTATTTTAAATATACTGTTATAAATATTTAAACTTTACATTTATCAAATGCATAATTTCTAAATATTAGATGGAATCTTACTTTATTCGTTGGCAAATGATTCATTTGCCTTCTAGATTTCCTGCTTCTATAGCAACAGCAATAACAGACTAATATGGTAACAAATCCTCCTGTTAGTACAAAACCAACGACTGCATAGATCCATAAGTTTTCAACTGTAAACAAATTTCCATTCATTCTGGACTTTTATATTAATGTATTTTTAGTTGTATATAATGAACACAACTTACCACATTTAGGTATATTACAAAATTCCTTTTGTGGTTTACTATCGACATAAACATAACACCATGGTTGTAATTCCTTATCACCTGGATTGCGACAATACGAATGTTTTCCAGCTAATTCAGGATAATCGGAAATCTGAAGATTAAATTCACCGTGTGACCATTGCATACATGGTTTTCCGCTAATACTTGTTTTTACGATTCCACGATAAGATTTTCCGCTTCCCCAGTAACAATAGTCATCTATAATTAAAGAAAAAGAAAAATGATTTCCATTAATTTTAATAAAAAGATATTTAAAACTTGCATTATTAATGACTATTTTATTTTTTTAAATAATAATATATTCTTATTATTTAAAAAAATATTAGGAAATTAAAAATACATACTTTCCTGTACATTGTTTCCTGAGGAGATTCCAAGAGTTAAACAATCACGAGCCTCGGGAGTATCTTCCATCGGTAAATCTGAACAATCAATTAAAGGCACTTGATGTCCAATCAGTGGATGTCTTTTAGCAATTGCATATTCCTTTTTGCACAAGTCATTCTCTAACATTTCACATTCTTGTCGACAGATTCTCCGTAATTTACGATTGATTTCCATTCTATTAGATGATTGTGTTTCACCATAGCTTTGATTTATTATTTTTTTATTAGAAGCTTTTCCATCTTTATATGGATTGAATTCTGAGCTAGGACCTAATGTGGGACTACGTTTTCTGGGAATACCATGAGTTCCTGTAATATCATCTGCATCATCTCCATCGCCCATATCTCTTGAAAAATCACCTTGATTTGAATTTAAAAAATGAAATAAACTTGCACTAGCATCAGAATTTTTAAGTTTAAGAATATTGTCAGGATCACGACATATTGGAAATGCAGAAAAACATAATGATGGTTTTGCATAACCTTCACAATTTGATGAAACCTCACTGAAATATAAAAAATAAAATATAATTATTTTAATATGATCTGTAAAGATTTTTATACCATATCATATCATATAAGTTACTTACTTTGAGTATTTAATAACACCAAAAGCTTTCATCAATTTGTCGTCAAGTAATTCTTGGGTCATTGGATATGGAATATAAACAGATTGATTTCCTAAAAATTGTGCACATGTTTTCCCTACGTACATCTGAATAGAATAGAATAATTTAAAACTTTAATGGATAATTCATAATTTAATGATGAATTAATAAATATATAATATATTTTTATGTACTTCGCATTTTCCTTCATGATTATCTTTTCTGCCAGGAGATAACTGCATATTGACATTTCTAAGGCCGCCAATTGTATGAACGTCGATAGTATTAGTTTGAGAACTAGTTGGTTGTGGACTTGGTGATAATATGCTAAATGGATTTGTTGATGCCAAGTGTGAGATATGTGGCGTTGACATTCCAGTCCCTGAAAGGTCTAATCCATCTCCAGGTCCAATGCTGTTGACAAAGATAAAGATTATTGTTTATATTTGAATATATTTATTCACTAATATAAAAACTTATAACAAATTTGATAGGTTAGGAATATAAAAAATATTGTTATTTTCTAAAATAATGTATTTACATCATAATGCAAACATATACAAATTCATTTTTTATACAAAATAAAAATATTAACTTTTTACTTCATTGCGTAAACATTTTATGTCATGATTTTAACCAAAATAAACGATCAGTTTTTTTCAAAACATAACCTTATACAACTACTAATAGATAAAATATATTAAATTACGAAAAAAAAAATGCTTTAAAATTAACGTAAAATCATACAAATTTAAATTTTCTATTATTTATTTAATATACATATAAATTACATTTTTTTATTTATTATCGTACAAAATTCGCGGCAATTTTTTATAACCTCATTGAAATTAACAAAGAATGATCACCTTGTTTCTGTAACATTTGTAACATTTTTTTTAACACTATTTATGCCATGTACAAAAATACATGTATTTTGTAACAATACTAGGTACAAGAGTAGCTTCATATTTATAAATTATCTATCAAAATTTTAACAGAAATCTTATGTCATTTGACATCACATTCAGCATCCATTTGTAAACTGATACTAATTGAAATTTTTGGCGGTAAAGTAAGAAATTATGAAACAAAGTAATCTCTTTTTTAAAAATATATTTTTTGAGAGTAAAAATATATAATTATGTAAATTTTGTAAATATTTTGTATACTTAATATCCTTTATCTAACTAGTATTGTTACAAAATTGTATATCTTTTGTATATTTTTTTACATACTATAAATAATGTCAAAAAAAATGTTATAAATGTTAAATTGTTTAATAAATTTTCAAATTATAACTATCTAAGAATTTTTTTAAAGCATTTTAGTTTTCCTTAATAATAAGAAATATTCAAAATTCAATTCAAAATTTCATTTTTAATGTAGAAGACATTATTTTAGAAAATTCATTCGCTTTACGTTTGATTATTAAATACAAATTTTAAAAAATGCCAAAAATTTATCATTGACAGGTCTGATATAAAAAATAAATTTTAAGGATGGATATTTAAATATATCATACTATATTAATAAATAAATTTGACTATTTACCCTTCAATGAAATCACCACCAATCATATCCGGGGAAAATCTATCATCCGATGTTTGACTAATGGGATGATCGGAATGAACAGGAACTGTAAAATAAATTATTATTTAAATTAAAAAAACGTTCTCTGTAGCAAACAATAATAAATTCAATTTATATTTTAATTATATTTCATTTCTATGATTATCTTGTATTCGAAATATAATCATAACAAATAATCGCATAGTGATGCTAATAATATGATATTGTAGTCTATGATAGTGGGTCAATTGAAGTCTTTCTTTCTTCCTAATATATTCAAGGTGTTTTTGAAGGGAGGATAAATTGTTGCTCTCTTTGTACGCTTGGCACGTCGCGTAGTCCTTTTGAAAATCTCCAGGTTCGTGCGAATGCGAGTTTGCATTTGCAGTTACGGTTTATTCACCCTCCTCCGTCGGTGCTCGTGCCTTTGTGTTGTTATAATTCTAAAAGAGTTGGGATACGATGAAAAGATGCGTACTGTATTCGCTAAAAATCCTCCTGTCTTCGAATTTTTTGATGTTTCTGTCTCATTTCTTCGCGTTTATTTTTCTTTTCGTTTTTATATCTTCGTTTCTTTTTTACCGTGTCCATAGTTTTGTCCATTTTTGGGGGGGGGGGATGTTCTCTCTCTCTC